GGTATCGATATCGGTTATCGGCTACATGAGTTTTAAAATATCGGCATATCGGATATCGGCCAAAATCCTAATATCGTGCATCCCTAATTGTAAGGAAATATATAAAAAGTTTAGATAAAAAACATTTAATCTTTCAATCTGTTCTATCCAGAACTCGTCAAGTAGTAAAGTTTTAGTTTCACCTGGTTTCATTTTGTAAAAATTCTTCCTTAAGGAACCCTTCACTATCCGATTATTAATTGATTAATCCAAAAAATAATGTCCAGATTAATCAATTTGTGAAATAATCATTGAATGATGATTCATTTCCATTAAATGAAGTGTGTTGGAGATGCAGGTGTGAAGCCTGGAACTGTTTCTTTAAAACCAGGATTTTAAAGGATTTGCAGGAACCCTGGATCATGTCTCATCTTTACAGCGTTTCATTCAGGTTTCTACCTGGTCTGGTCTATGTGTGACAGTGGGATTGGTTTAATGATTTAGAAATTAAAACAGAACGCAGAGATGGTTCAGATCTATGCCTGAATGTCCAGGACTTTCCTTTTAGAAATTATTTACTGGACTGATGAGATCTAAGAACCTAAAGCTAACATATAGTTTCAGGAACAGGTGTGACTCAGTCCTTTTTAGTGAGGAACGTGAAATAAATAAATTTGAATGCTTTATTTTCTGAAGTGGATTCATTTGTGCAAACCATAAATAATCTGAGAAGCTAGGATATTGTGACTCAGCCATCATAAAGTTCTTCTGACAGACTTTGGTTTCGGTTTGGTTCAGTGGCGATGTTGCTTCACAGCTCTGGTTTATTACAGGCTCTGGTGTTTGAGGCTATCACTGCTGAGCTGCGTTTATAGCTGAGGAAGGAAGGAAGGACGAGTTGGTTCAGTTGGTAAGCAGTTTACCTGGAGATGAAGTTAATGATTTTCTCTATCAAGGTGGAGATCGTCCTGTTGGATAATGTGGCGTGAAGTTTTTTATGACAGAACCTCAGTGTATGACCTTTCTGTGTTTATTTTGGGAATGAAAAGCCATGGATGAATTCAGGGGACGATTGTTTAAAGGGTTTGAAATCCCTTCCTTTTCCATCCAGGAACAGTGCAGGTTATCCAATCCTGGATAACCTGGATAAGACTTTAAAGCTGTGAGGGAAGTAGGAAAAAGACTACTAGAATATCCAGCGTGGAGTCATTTAAAGTACTGAGCAGCCTCAACATAACAAAACAATAAAAAAAACTAAGGAAACTACTTCATTATGATGTGAAGTTTGGCTTTAGTTTGCTGCAGTTTGGTAAACCTCTCCATCAAACCTCTGCTTCCTCTCCTTTAAAGGAAAAGTCTGGTCAGCGAGGAATAATCAATGGATCATTATTTATACCTAAAACTAATACGTTATTTCATTAATTTGGCGTTAATCAGTAAAAAAAAAAAAATATATATAATTTTCGTTGTGATCACTGAGTCTGGGAGCGGCCATTTTTGCCCAAATATAGTAGCCCCTCCCTCCTGCCATCTTCCAGCAGTGACGTCACGGTGCGGTAAGCCTAGCGCCATTCTCCCCGCTTTCCAAGCTAAATCAATGGGAACTACTAGACACATCTGCAATCAACAACAATTATTGAAGATTTCCAGAGGACTTCACCATTGAAATTCACCAGAGCTATAGTGAAACTGACAATGCCCACGTGCATGGCAGCTGGATGCTGGAATACATCGGGTAAAAGTGAAAAAAAGAGTTATTCCACCTTTCTGATTCCTGATCCTCCACGGACGGGTTGGTCGTTGGATCGCCAACTTGAAGAGGGAGGATTTGCCATCGAACTCCTGGCCAGAGAAAAAACCCGTAATATGTAGCCAACATTTGGAAGAAGAATGTTTTCAAGATGACTTGGATAATAGCGCGTTGTGACAAACACCAGATACAGCACTGGGACATGATCAACAGCCGATACCGCACTGTGACGTCACTAACCAGTAGGTGGCAGTAGTGTTCTTTGACAAACATGGATGCCTCCAGTAAAGCACATTCACATGAAAATTACTCTGAATTAAAAACACTGATCATTTATTGAACAGGATGGAATCATTTCAGATTTAAAGAACTTTTAGAAGTT